AAAAAAAAAAAAAATATTTTTCAGTTCTCGGCGGACACAATGAACAAAGCAATCTGTCACATCAAGGCAAAAAACTATTATTGGTAATGATAAAATTTAGGCTTTCAAGTTATATTAAAATCTTAGAAAACTTGTGTCTATCCCCATGAGCTTCCCAGTATTTAGAAACTTTTCTGGAGGCTAAGGCAGGAGGATTACAGGTTCAAGGCCAGCCTCAGCAAGTTTGAAGCCACCCTTGCTGACTTCCTGAAACCCTGTATCAAATAAAAAGAGCAAAAGGACTGGAGATGTAGCTGAGCAGTAAAGAGCCCCTGGGTTCGATCCCCCTTACCAAAAATAAATAAAGGAATTAATAATAAAAAGGTTTTTTTTTTTTTTTTAAAGTTCTCTATATGGTTGGGGATGTGGCATAGCAGTAGAGGGCTTTCCTGGCATGTACAATGCCTGGGATTTGATCTGTAACACTATCCAAAAAACAAAGCAATGTCCTATGTAGTTAAATACGTCAATATTATCTGTGTAACAATGAACTAGTATTTTCTAAATTACTAATGCTTGATATTACACCATCAGATATGGATAAGACCCATTGTGAATGTACAACAGATCAATGGATTTTAATGCTACAGAGTATTTTCATACTGAGAACTTTTCAAAGTTTCAGTTTTTTGTATATATAGCCTCAGATTCTACATTGAACTAATGTTTAAAAAACGACCACATTTTGCATTTTGGTATAAAATTTAAAAGACTGTTCATTCTTGTTTGAAAAAACTATTAAAATCTCCTCTGGGGCTGGGGTACATAGCTCAGAGATGGAGTGCTTGCCCCAGGGAGGCTCTGGGTTCTATCCCCAGCACTACAAACAAAAATTCTTTTTCTTTTGCATATCTGTGGTGCTAGGGGTAGAACCCAAAGCAGGGTCTCCCATGCTAGGCAAGCACTCATCACTGAGTTACATCCTCAAACCAAGGCTGGGTTATATTCATGCATTCAAACTAAATGAACATACCACAACACATTAAAAATATTTGAACTGGAGGTGGTGGTGCATACCTATGATCCCAGTGACTATGGTGGCTGAGGCAGGAGAATTGCATTTAATGAGGCCCTAAACAATTTAGTGAGACCCTGTTTCAAAATCAAAAGGACGGGGATGTGGCTCAGTGGTAAAGCTGGTATTTAACCTTGGGTTAAATACCATAAATAAATAAACAAAAATAAAAGTATTTGGAAAAATATGCAAAACAGTGTTGCCTCAGCCTTTCATGTTGCTGGGATTACAAGCATGTTCCATTTCACCCAGCAATGTCATTGTCTTTGTAAACTGATTTTTTTTTTTTTTTTGTACCTGGGATTGAACTCAAGGGCCCTTGACCACTGAGCCACATCCCCAGCCCTGTTTTGTGTTTTGTTTTTTTTTTTTAGAATTTTTTTTTTAATATTTATTTTTTTTTTTTTAGTTCTCGGCAGACACAACATCTTTGTTGGTATGTGGTGCTGAGGATCGAACCCGTGTCGCACGCATGCCAGGCGAGCGTGCTACCGCTTGAGCCACATCCCCAGCCCCTGTTTTGTGTTTTACTTAGAGACAGGATCTCACTGAGTTGCTTAGCACCTCACTTTTGCTGAG